CCTGGCACTGCAGTCTTGGACCCTGCGTGGTCAGGCTGTAGTCCGAGTTCGAACTTGTCTGTTTCTGTCTTTCTCTTTTACCTGTTAAATTTGCTCTTCTCTAACCTTTGTCTTTTCTCTAATAAACTTACTCTTAGCTTTCACAGATTTGTGGTCAGTGGTTCTTGTTGGGCACGACTCTGTAACACTGGCCAGAGAGGGGCCTGGATGAGGCCTTCACTGGGCAACTTTCAGTGGACCCTGTCAGCTCACATTGATTCACTCTGTGAGGGCACCACAACACCACGTAGGACCCTCGTGCCTCGGTGCCCTCTCACCCAGCTTTGCAGCACCCTAGACTGTGGCCAAGGCGGGTTTCTGGTGTGGACGCTGCTTCAAGCAGGGCACGGAGACAGAGCTGACCAGTGGCTTCCCATCACCTCCTGAGTCCACCCGTGCTCACCATCCTGGTCTGCTCCGACACGATGGTGTTCGCCTGCGTCCATGGAAGGAATCTCTGCCCTGCATCTCCTCGTCCCGCCCCTGAAACGCAGGACTGCTTGAGGTTCTGACGTGGGCTCTTTCACTCTCCTTTTATTAGTAAATAGGATGTTGCAAGTTGATGAGAGATGATAGAATATGACCGGGAACATTGAGCTTAATTAGCCCAGGGACAGGTGAAAACATACAACAGCACAGGAGGACATGTGAGAGCATGCAGACACATGAGAGCACACGAGACATGCTCTTTGCCCCTGGGGTCAGAGTTGTGTTGCTTCGATGGGCATCCCACTCAGGAACAAATGCCTTCGTACATTGATCCTGAGTGACACGAAACCCGGAGAGATCGCTTTGGGCTGATGTCACTATATCAGGTTTGTGACATGTGCCCACTGGGCCAGCCTGTGGGGCCCTGGTTTGGTCAAGCACTAGTCTAGGTGTTGTTAGGAAGGTATTTAAGTGAGCGATATTAAAATGAGTTGACCTGAGGAAAAGCAGACCCCTACGCGGCCAGCGTCAGTGAGCCTCAGCCAGACAAGGGCACTGGGAGCAACAGTGGAGATTTCCTGAGAGAGGAGATTGGCGACCTGCTGAGGAGTCTGACTCTCCATCTGGTCCACTTCTTTTGGACCCAGCAGCCGTGCAACCATGTGAACCAATTCTCTCTCTCTCTCTCTCTCTC